AAAAAAAAAATAAAAAAATTTTTTTTTAAAAATTTTAAAATAAAAAATTAAAAAAAAAGAAGTACCCCCATAGAAATTTATAGAAGCAGTTACTTCGGACCCCCCCCCCCCCCGTTGTAGGGGTCACTGAGCACCTGCACTAATGAAAGGTTTTCTTCAATTTTGAAAAGGTTAAAACCCTATTTTAGAAATAGCACCGGTGAAAGCCGTTTAAATGATTCGTAATATTAAATATTTAAAAGGAGATTATTCTAGATAAAAATTTGATTCTATAAATTAGTTAAATCTCACAGAAAAATACACCTCTCTTTAAAAATTCAAATCATAAAATTGCTATATTATTATAACATAAAATAAGTAATTATAATGAATTCTTAGTCATAATATTTATATATTATACTATTTTTAATAAAAATATTGTATTTGCAATAAAAATTAGTGATCTGTATCGGGCCTAATTTTTCAAGCCCGCCTGGCCGGGCCCAAAATTATTTTAAAAATGTTTTGCCGGCCCGAACCCTAAATTTTTTTTAAAAAAGTTTTGTCGGCCTGGCCAGAATTTATTTAAATATAGAAATTCATTTTTATAATTACTCAAAATAAAAGATATATGTTACATGGCGTCTAGTTTTTCCAAGGCCCGATCCAACCCGACCCGATTTTTTTAAAAAAATATTAGGCCCGAACCCGATTTTCCTACTTTTGCAGATCTCTAATAAGAATCATTAATGTTTTATTAATATACTCATTTGTTATCATTAAAATAATACATAGTTAAATAAAGGGGTGTTATTTATACTAAAGTATTTTAATAATAAATAAAATCTTTAATCAAATTCTCTGCAAAATTTTTATATGCAAAAATTTAATTAAAATAATTATTTTTAACATAGAATAAGATATATTGAGTGTCATAAAAAATGGGAGGTTTGAGGGAAGGGGGATTTTATTCTTCTTTCTACACCGAATGGATTGAATTAATTTACAATTGGATTTTATTCTTCTTTCTACACCGAATGGATTGAATTAATTTACAATTGACTAAACATTGATAAAATTTTCAAAATAATGCTTTCAGTCGCATAATAATCATAAATTTGGCCAAAATTTTGTTACTAATATTTTTTTTCATTTATGCTGGCTACTATAATGGTTAGACACTAATAAAGCACAAAATATTGGCAAATTTTTAAAATATGGTTTGGGGGCGAAGCCCCCAAAATTATTTAAACCCCCCCCCCCCCCCCTCCCATGGATCAATCCTGGCTACGCCATTGAATGTTGCTGAGTTCAATAATATAAATAATATTTAGCTGGAGGTTTTAAATTATTTTAAAGACCGTCGAAATACATTAGAAATACTTACTTATTATCCTACCATCAAAGAATTTTTTTACATATAATACTACAATAACTTAATCAGCCCCAGTTGTAAGGTTATATAGTTTTGGTACAATGTTAAATATGCCGAAACGGCAACGGTTTAATGATAAATTATTTGAAAAATTAACTATCTTAAAAAATAATGATTTAATTTAATCTATCTTAATTACTCATTTACAAATAATATTTCAACTCACCTTAAAAATACTAGTCTCTCTTCCCTGACTATGCTATGAACAGAGTTTGGCAGGTCCTCGGGAAAAAGAATCTAGATACAGATTCTTTTTTTTAAAAAATGGATCTTAGATACAAATACTAGTATCTTATTCAAAATCAAAAAGATACAAGATAAAAGATACTTGTATCTTACCAAATGAGAGTATCTTAAATACAAGATACTTTTATAAAATTATCATTACCAATTTAGAATGGTTTATAAAATACAATTTTATTTATTTATTGGTGAAGAGCATAACATAAACATATAATAAGAATAAATATTTACAATAATTAAGAATATTTAATGACGAGTTATTTATAATAATCAGACATTTTATTATTATTTTTAGCCCATTCATAGCATAGTCAGGGAGAGTAGTATTTTTGAGGTGAGTTGAAATATTAATTTGCAAAGGAGAAATTTAAAATAGATTTCAAATCAACATTTTCTAAAATAATCAAAAAAATAAGGAAATTATTACAATATTCAAAGAAAAAAATAAGGTTATAATCTGTGATATCTAAATTTTTAAACATAAATTTTAAAAAGGATCTGTATGTGTATCTGTATCTTTTGTCAAGAAATAAAAAGGATACAAAATATTTTTCAGAATAAAGGATCTTAGATACAGACACTAGTATCTTATTAAAAATAGTGTTGTTAAACGGCTCAATTTAAGCCGATTTTTAAAAACGGCTACCTCAATATTTTATCCAGAAAAATATTATGAAAGACTAGAGATTTTGCTCATAGATGGCACATAGTATTGAACATCTATTGGCGAAATCTCGACGCTTAGACAATATTTTCCTGGCTATAATTTTGAGTTAGCCGTTTTTAAAAATCGGCTCAAATCGATTCGTTTAACAACACTAATTAAAAATGTCAAATAGATACTGAGCACAAATACAAAAAAATCTTGTATCTTAGATATAAGTATTCTCGGTACTGCCAACTCTGGCTATGAATGGGACAAAAAAACTAATAATAACTGGCCTGTTTATTATAATTAACTCGTCATTAAATATTCGATTAATTATTATAAATATTCATCCTTATTATATGCTAATGTTATGTTCTTTACTAATAAATAATAAAAATTGTATTTTATAAACTATTCTAAATAGATAATGATAATTTTATATGTATCTTGTGTATAAGATACTTTCATTTGAAAAAGAGAGAAGTTTTTTTTATATTGTATCTTTTTAATATTTTGAACAAGTTACTAGTATATATATTAAAGACATTTTTTTTATAAAGAATCTGTATCTAGATTCTTTTTTTCCGGAGGACCTGCACAACTCTAAATATATATAAAATAAATTTTTTGTGGTAGAAAATCTTTATTTGTTTATATATATGAAATTTTATAGAAATGTAAAATTAGTGATTATAATTATGATAAAGATATAAATTTGTATAATTGGGTGATTTATAAAAAAATATATATAATGAGATTTTTATGATAAAATTTTTATTATATATATGTCGTATTGGGATATGGAATTCATTTGGATTCGGAATCTCTTGATTTTAAATCCTCTACCGAGGGCGATTTAAAACATTTTAAAATCCGATTTAACCGGAAATGTATTCAATCATGTGTAGAGTATTTACCTTATAAACTTCAGCCAATTTCAGCCATAGACATTTTAGTATTTTTTAATATATATATAAAAAATCCATATAAAAATTAATATAAATTAGGAGAAATTCTAAAGTTCATTGCAAAATTGTTTGAAGTTTACCGTTTGGGTACTTTATACATGCCGAAATACCCTTCCTATAAAATCAGATTTTCAAAATTTAAAATTCGCCCTTAGTATATGATTTAAAATTGAGAGATTTCGAATCCCCAGGGATTCTATATCCCCATACGACATATAAATATTGGAGATAAAAGGATGGGCATGTGTGTTGGTTCATTTTTGATTAATTTGATCTATTGTCAATGTAATTCCTTTTTATTGATATATTATTAATGTGATATATTGTGAATATGTGTTAATGTTGTTTCATTTTGAATTAACTGCCCATTTTTATTTAATATTTTGTCCTTTCCACATCAGCCCATAGACGTTTAAGTAATAGTCCGCATCAATGATATATATAACTATAGATTGGCGATCATGCATAAAAAAACGTCCACCTATTGAAATCAGCTGTAGCGCCATTTTGTAGCTTGTACGTTGATCAAATGCCTCAATAATAATACTAATTTTTAAAAATTTAACAATTTTATATCTAATAATTTGTTAATAATGTAATTATGTAAAATAATCAAATGAATCCTAACCTCAACTGATCTTCAATTAAATTACATTGGTATTCTATAAAATAAAAAAACTCAACATTTAATCCAATAGTAGTATATAATATCATTAAATTACTTTCACCCAGAAATTATTCAGAAACATAGATTGCTACGATATCACTGAAACAAAAATCACCAAAATTATACCCATACAAAATATTCCATACTTATATCTAATACACCCTCAAATATTCAACCAAATAAAGTCCACTGCCTATATTTAATTGCCAAAAAAACTTATCACATGACTCAATCAAGAAAATACTTCTTTCAATCAGTTTTTAGTTAATTTATCTACTTGATTAATATTATTATAAAAATAAATTTATTTTTAAACATTCCTCAACCATTATTAGAAAATCTAATTTATTTTATACATATTAATTGCATATATCAAAATCATTTATTTTTTTATATATATTTGTTAATTTTTCTTATAAAATTAGTTTTTATAATTTTATCAAATTCACTTGATGTTTCAAAAAAAATCTTACTATCCACTTATTGTTCATTTATGGAATCCTTATTATTAAATATAATAATATTTTATGATTCATATCTTATTAATAAATAAAAATGATGCATCGTTATTTATTGTAGTTGCTGGTACTTTTAATTTTAGTTAAGTAATTTATACCTTAAAATAATAATCAAAATTTATATAAAAAAAGAGATCTGTATAGATATAATTAAATAAAATCTACAAATTTTGTTTTACTAATAAGAGAAATCAGTGTTAATTTTTTTCTTACTTTTTTAACTTATTTTTATTTTGTATTATTAATTTTATTATAAAGGATGAACCAAAGATATACTCTAAAAGTAGATGAAGATCAATTAATTACGTTAAGAAAATAAGATTTTATAAAAAAATATCCTGTCAATTAAAAATTATTTTGGATTATGTGTTCTAGATGAAATAAGTTAAACCATCTTAAAAGATGGGTTGAGAGCTCATCTCACTTAATTTTTATTGTAATAATCATTTATAATTTTTTTTGTTTTAATTATTTCATCTTAATTATAAATGACAAATGAAAACATCTTTTATTTTATTTTCAATAAAAACATAGTGTAATAATAACATTTTTTGCATGGGTATAAATTATTATATAAATCATTTAAATAAGGTTTATACAATAAATATATAAAAATATAAATGTGTACACTTTAAAAAACAAAATGTATTTTTAACAATATGATGATTCACATTCATATTATCTTTGATTATAAACATTCATCCTTTTTGATTCTATCATCACCTATAAAAAATAAAATATATTTACATTAGCATAGATTATATATAATATCATAATTTTTATAATATGTCTTATATAAGGCCTGTTCTTTATACAATATAATTTTTAAAAAATAAAAGAAGATATAAATATTAATTTACATGACTTATTGATTATTAAATTGTATTGCTTTTGTAAGATTTTGCCTCATACCAGTTATCAATTCCTGGTTTCTCAAGTCAGCAAAATGGAAAAATCTAATATTTAAATATCTTTAAAAAAAATAGTATTAAAACTAATAAATGATTACCTTTGAACAATTAATTTTACAAGAATTTGAAAATGGCTGTAACCAATCTCATGTTCATTAATATGTTCAGTAAGATCAATAAAAATATTTGTACCAATTATTGTGGAAAAAACCAACACTTCCATTTTTTTAATAATATTTTTACGTTTAATATCATTTTGATAAGTTCTAAATGAACTTTCACAAATTCGGCATAATATAGACATACTAGATGAAGGAATCACTAACCCCCCATTATACTATATTTATTAGGCATAAAATTTTTTCTATTTATAGCCTGTAACCATTTTTCCAATAATTCTTTGGATTTTAATGGAAATCTATATTTAAAAATAGGTGAATAATAATGAGTAAAATATAAGATATATTTATGATAGATAGTATATAAAAATCAATATAAATATCAGATCGGTTATTAGTAATATAGTATTGAATCAGTGAAAATTTGTTGATTGGCAGAGCCTCTATTAATATATATATGGTTTACATATTTCTTACAAATATTTAAAATGAAACTGTATCATAGTAAATATGTATTTTAAAATGGCTAACTTAATATTTTATCCAGAAAAATATTTAGGCAAAGTTCAAAATAGAAATCTTATCAACTCAATAGGAAGAAGCATTATTTGTCCTAGCAATAAAAATGAGAAAACTTTATATTTTTACTAAATAAGGATTTTTTTTCAATGTTTGTAGCTTATTAATGCTTTATGTAATAAATATGTTGCATATAAAAAATAATAAATATACTTATGATAAGAAATATGTGTATTAGATTCTATTTTATATGTTTTATTACAATTATGAACACAGCACACTCCCATTATCTAATTAAATAATAAATGATAGTGATATTATAAGATCTGTTTTGCATGTATCCTAAGATGCATTAACATAAGATTTATAAGTCCATGCAGGATTAGGTTAAACTATATTTTAAAAAATTAAAAGGTGGGTTAGTCTTAGATTCATTTTTTAAATATAATCACCTACTCCACCTTCATAAAAAAAAGTCTTATGAAAATTTAAGAATAAAAGATACTATAAAATATTATATCATAAATCACCTTTAAAACTAGACTTGTTTTCTATATATTAATATTTCTTGCTGACAAATAATGGATAACCAAACTACAAAATGGCGCTACAGCTGATTACAATGTGTGGACACTTTTATAATGCATTGAATGAATGAATCGTCAATCTATAGTTATATATATCATTGGTCCGCATACAAGTACGTGGCTCTGTTGTATCCACAACTAGAGGGCGTAAACGTTCTATATCACGTATCACGTATTCAGATGAGCAAAATACCAACTGATGAGGAATTTAGAAAATTAGCAGTCGATGCTATATTAAAAGATGTCCAAATCAGATCAGTTAAAGCTGAAAGTATGGGAGTGTCTGCTTGGTATAGACAAGACTAATATTTTAATTTATATTCTATTTTAAGGGTAAGATCTAAATCAGTTGATAAAGGTGTTTTAAATGGAACTATTAAAACCGTTACGACTCACAACAAACATACAAAAAAGTCACGGATATAATGCTTGTTTACTACTTGTATTTATTTACAATAAAACAATATATGTAATGATGATTAAGAAGTAAATTCTAATACAGTTACTTTATTGTAATATTATATTGCATATATATATTGTATTGAAATATCTAAATAAAATTATGAATTTGCAGCATTGGAAGTGTGTACCATTTGATTTTTTAAATATAATTTACTTTCTTTATAAATAATCAGAGTTGTTAACGCTCCTTTTTATAAGTAGCTAGCTCCTGCTCCTACCTTCTCAAAAGGAGCTAGCTCCCACTCCCACTACTACATTTTTAAAAGGAGCTAGATCCCACTCCAAATAATGGAGTGGCACTCCATAACTGCTCCGATTTTTAATTTTTTTAGAAGGTATACCAAATAAAATCATATTTTTTTATCAAAAAGCTTTATTTATATTAAATGATCTATCAAAATATTTATAACCTTTTATTAGCTTTTAAAAGTAATAAATTAGAATCTAACAAACATCCACGCCTCTCCCCTAAGACCTCTTCTGCAATACTAAATTGGTGCTCTACAGGAGCATTAGAGGAAGATATTTTTTAATTCAGGGAATTTATCAAAAATAGTAATTTTGGTATCATTATTTAAAAAATATTTGTCCAATATATCTTCCTGATCAATTTCATGGAATCCAAAAAAGTCTTCCAAATCATTTTGTATTTAAAAGAAAGATTTTTACTTTTAGATGCTTTTTTAGATTGAAGCTGCTCACTTTTGAAAATAAAATAGTTTTATTTAAACACAAAAGGCATTTTGCCCTTAAATTTGTTGGATCAACATCTTTTAGAAGTTTAAAATATTTTTTGAATGATGGAAATTCAATTTCTTCATCTAGGATCTCTAAATCCATAATATCTAAAATTATTTTTTGTTATATATCTATAAAATGAATTTTCCAAAAAATTTTCAATATAAAAATGAAAAACTTGATGTTTAATATTTAAAATCTTTAGATGAAAAACCAATATAAAATTCGGCACATTTAATAATGGATAAATTTAAATTAGAGGGGTGTAGTTATTTATGAAATAATTATCATTATTTGAATAAAATTGGAAAGGGATGAATGGTATTTCCTTTTTTTAATTATTTATATCTGGTAGGAGGTTAAAAGTTTTGAGAGGGTTGATATCATTTATAGATGGGTATACAAGCCCCTGTTAAAGTGAATACATTATATTCTCCACAGTCCTTTTCTTAAGTTAAAATAGGAAATAGTATAGCAAGTATTATATTTTTTTAATAGATCCCTTTAGGCCATATTTTTTGATATCTAATTTACATATAGATAAATATCCTTACAAAATAAATTTCATTAAAAAAAGTTTTTAAAAAATGATTTTTTTAATTATTGAATATGTGAATGAAAAAGTAGAGCATTGCCATTAGTGATCTGCATTGGGCCTAATTTTTCAAGCCCAGCCCAAAATTTTTTTTAAAAAAGTTTTGCCGGCCTGGCCTGAACCCGAAATTTTTTAAAAAAGTTTTGCCGACCTGGCCCGAACCTGAAATTTTTTTTAAAAAAATTTACCGACCCGGACTGGCCCAAATTTATTTAAATATAGAAATTAATTTTTATAATTACTCAAAATAAAAGACATGTTATATGTCGTTTAGTTTCAATAAATAAAATCAAATATTTTTATTTTACACAAAAAATTCAATATAAAATTGATATATTTAAAAAAATTCCAAGGTCTGACCCGACCCTGCCCGATTTTTTTAAAATATTAGGCCCGGACCGGCCCGAACCCGATTATTTAAAATAAAATTAGGCCCAAAGCCCGTTTGGGTCGGGTACGGGCCGGGCCTAACTTTGCAGATCTCTAATTGCCATATCACATCATTAAACAAATATTTGTTAAATATATAAGTAAAATTTTAAATGAATCACTGATTTGGACAAAGACTGGTTAAAAATAACCATGGAAAAAAACATTGGACAAAAACACCCCAATATAAAAAAATTTACATGCTTTAATAAATAAAAGGAAAATATAATCCTCGTTTTAAACTTTTCCCTTTAGTGTAATACTTGAGTATTATTTTATAATAATATTTTATTAATAATGTTACTCATCAAAAGTGATCATATTTGTAAGGGAAAACAACTATATGACTCAAGGGCTAGGAATATGAATTTTAAAATAATTTTATAATGCATGACGATAGGTAGTTATTTTTGAAATATTAATCGTGGGATTGATGTGGTAGAGAAAGACTGCTTCACATATAAAAGAATTTGTAAATACCCTCATAAAATCTGTATCTTGATAAATGAGTCTATATGTGTAGCTAGCTAAATTTTATACAAAGTAGACCTTCCTATATTTTTGTCACAAAAAATAACGCAAATATAAAAAATTTGAACTATTACATAAAAACAAACAAAATTTTTATTACTGTAGATAAGAATTTTAAAAAAATAAACATTCAATGTTATATTAATAGCGATTCCTTTAAGATAATCTAATCTTGATCGATTTTCGAAATCAGAAACAATTGTTACTATTCTCGCATGTAGATTTCGATATTTTTTTCTCGGGGTATAGGGTGTTTCACCAGAATTATATTGAGAAATTTTTAACTTTGTCAACCCTTGTTGTTTTTTTAAGCCTAGAATATAAATTATAAAGTTTATTAGTAAATCTTTATACTTTTTAAATCATTTTAAAATAATAGATATATAGATAACTTGATATAAATTTCCACATGTTTGGATGGTGACTTGTTAGGAGAGAACTGAAGCATCTATGCCACCCTTCAACGGCGTTGTTGGTTTTCGCTTCCCCGTTCAGAGTTGATTGGTAACAGTTCCATAGTTCAATATTAAAAAGCAGGTAGTCTGCCTCTTCCAAAAGTTTTACAAATGTAAGCTTTTTCAAAAGTTTCAATTAGAGGCTGAAGTAACAATCGATTATTAGAATAAAATTCGGAGTTTATTAGTAATTCAAATGTTTCAACTACATTTAATGGTGGTACAAATGCCAAGTAAACCATCATTCTAAGTTGTATATTAAATTCCACTATATTTCTGCGTTATCTATATATTTTTTAATGTTTCGCCAAAAGGATTGGCCAAAATGGAAATAACAACATTTGTGTTAAACAGGGAAACACTTCATTGAAAGCTTTTACACTGGCCATTTCAAAATCCGTCATAATTTTTTTTGGAATTGATATTAAGTTGTCACTTATGATAGTAAATTTTTTTAAATATGTTTCATAATCCTTTTTATTGGTCAATATATATATGAGAGGTAAAACATTATTATTTTTAATCCCATGAATTGTATAAATTTGCGTAAATAAAGGTGGCGACTATTTAAATGTACCATCAGAAAACCAATGTTCACATGAAGCTAAGAAGTCCAAATTTTTTCTTGTTCCAAATATGATAACACGGAACCTAGTACATAAAGTTTGGAGTTTCCATAGTATTATTCAAAGCTTAATTCTTAATTGAATTGATTATTTTCTTGGTTTCCATTTCGATTGGATTTTCTGGATGATTGTGTATTTCTTTATTATCTTTTATCTTACCATTTTTTTTGTAAGTCGTACGGGACATTTAAATATACCTTGGTTAAGGCATCTTTAATAGTTTGTATCTTTATTCAGGCGGAACAAATAATTTTTAAAGGTTAAGATCTCATTTTTGCTTGATAACATATTTTATAAGACTCCGAAATAAAGAGGAAAGAATGGCGAAAATATTTATAACCAAGGAAATGGCACCAGCCAGACGAGAATTTTTTTTTTTTTAAAATTTCGACAATACTTCTTTTAATAGTTATAATTTATCAAATATGTCACTAATTATTTGTTAATTTTTACTGTAGCTATTTTTTTAATTATATTTCAAAATTATTTAAGCTTCAATAAGAACCCATATCAAAATATTATATTTAAATTAAATGAGATTCATGCCGAGATATTATACTAAAATTTTTATCACGCCCCCCCCCCCCCCCGACTCTCTCCCCTATATTAAAAAGTGTGACGAGTAACAATGTAACCCATCCCTTTATTAGCTTTCATTTGAGACTCCGATATATTATTTTATAAATATTTTATCCTCCCCCAACCAAACTCAGACTTGAAACAAAGTGACTTTAAATTATATAAGAAAAATTTAATCAGCTTTAATTTACTACCCTATCAAGATTTATTTCAGAGTAAGCTTTTACAATTCCCCCCGACCCCCCCCCCCTCCCAAAAAAATTCCCAAATATATTAGCTATATCAAAGAACATAGGTGGATAATAGCTCAAAAAACATATGTTATTCGCTTTCATTTGATGTCCTTGTCCGATATTTCTTGTAATACGAAGAATTACATATTGGCTTAAAGCTTCAAAATTAATACTTGGCAAATTTTGGAAACTTCATGCTTAAGGCTACGTCTTAATATATGATTTAGATTCCTATTAAATTTTTTGAAAATATGACTAATATTTTATATCTAAATAAACAGAAAAGATAAAAAGATATCTATAAAGATCGTAAAATAATAAGATTAAAAAATATTTCACTTAGATGTAATTTATTTTTGAATTGCCATTCAAAATAGACACTCTAAACAGTAATGTTGTAGACTTTATTCAGCTACACTGTTTATGATTAGTGACTGCCAAAACCACGGTTGTGCATTTGACCGGTCAAATATGGTTAAAATCAAATAAATATTTTTTTTATATTGAATATCATCATGTTCTTTAATATTTTTTAAGCAATTTTCTTGTTGTCTAAATCTTCAATCGATTTCTGTTTTATTAAGATTATTGACACAAAGTAAAATGCCACTTCTCTTAATGGCAATGGTGATCAAAGCTAATTCCACTGCTTGAGATTGATCTGATTGCTTCTTATGGAAGTTACTGCTTTCCCCATGATTTTCTATTAAACGTGCCGCTTTTATTTCTGAAATTTATGAAATAACTTGAAATATTTTGATCACCACCTTGTATACCTAATCCTTTTATTATATTACATACTTCATTAATAGGAACTTAATAAATAGCAGCATTGTGATCACATGTATTTATATAGTTTTTTCTTTTTCAAACATATTTTTATCTTCAGATCATTGAATATTTGATCACATTTGACCTGGTCAAATATTCCCCCGTTCAATTGACCCGTCAAATTTAGTCATTTGACTGACTTGCCATCCCTGGCCAAAACTGATTGATAAATTTATAAATATATAAATATTAAGTCATCTGACAATAAATATGAATGCTACCCAGATATTAATTTCGCCAGTAGATATCAAGATTTAACTAACAAACTCAATGATCAAGATAATAATAAAGCTGAGTTCATTGTGCGCGATTGTTATAAAATAAGAACTTCGAAGAAAAGGATAGGATCGCGAAAAAAGTATATTCCAATAATAAATTTCATAAACTAGATCTAAGTTTATTAATCATTATATAAATTTATTAAGGTTAAAAGAAAATTACAAACTATCATTGAATCAATCTTCCACCTATTTTTTTAAAAAAATATTATACAAATAATATAATTATAAAAAAATGTTTCAAAATAAATTAGTCATTATTATCATATCGCGATATTAAATTCGCTATAATATCTTCGCGATATATGTTTGGCGAAATAATTGTCGCTATATTGTCTTCGCGATTTGGGTTTCGCGATAATAACTTCGCTATAAAATTTTCGCGATTACTGATTCGCGATAAAAGTTTCGCAGTAATTTATTCGCTTTAAAGGTTTTGCTATAAAATTTTCGCGATTAAAGTTTCGCAGTAATGTATTCGCTTTAAGAGTTTCACGGTAAAGGTTTCGCTACGATATTGTATTTGCGGTAATGTATTAGCTAAAAAGGTTTCGCTATAAAAAATTCGTGATATTGCATTCGCAGAATAGTATTCGCTATTATGGATTCGCGATAAAAGTTTCGCTATAAAATCCATTCGCGATAAACGACATTCGCAATAAAAGTTTCGCTGAATTGACATGGAACCAATAAAGAGTCATAGCCCTAGATTCCCAGTCTAAGATTTTATACAAATGTAAAGTAGCCTGGGGGAAAAAATACTTTTCTTCTAATGATCATTTCCGATTTTATACTTCGGTTTTTAGGTATTAATCGGGTTTATATCACATTCATTTATATCTCATATTAAAGATCCAATAAGCTATATAATAAAATTTATATGAAACTATTATATTATTTTAAGGGTTATATTAATAAAATAAGGTATTATCTTCTAAATAACTTATAAATACAAACCTTCCTACAAATTTAAAGATAAGGCATATTTTTTGAGTTTAAAGCATTGAGGTCTTGTCCTAGGTCGGCTTAATTTGAATACTTATTTGCTTTTTAATGTAGGCTAAAACAGTATAAATGGTTGGTTTTTTTTCGACCCAGAACCTGATTCGAAGTCTTAAATATTTGCCCAACCCGGAGCCAGCGTCGAAAAATTGACCACCACCCAACCCATTGGGCCTGTTGAGCCGACCTATCGGGACTTGATGGATCAACAAAATATACCGAAAATCAAACTAGTTTGTCTTAATCCTGAAGTTTTTGATATTAGAAAGATTTTCTAAAATCTTAGGTTCTAGTAATTTTTTAAAATTTTGTTTTAAGTCTAGTAAAAGTTTTTGATACTAGAAAGATATTCTAAAATTATAGGGTCTAGTAATAAATTGGCAGAGTCATTATATTTTATTCCACCAGAAAAAAAAATTTGAAATTTTTAAAAACTATATTTTAAGTCTAGTTAAATGTTTTTAATACTAAAAAGGTTTCTAAAACCTTTGAGTATAGTAATAAATTGGTGCTGTCTTTATATTTTACTCCACGCGGAAAAGAAATTATAAAAAAATTTAAAAAATTTGTTTTAAGTCTATATAGAAGTTTTTGATACTAAAAGGATGTTCTAAAACCCTGTCTAGTAATACACTGGCACTGCCAACATATTTTACTCCTCGGTCCCACGGTCCGGTCCAAAAAATCATGAAAATCTTTTTACTAAACTCTTCTATTGGGTCTAATAATAAATTGACACGCCATTATATTTTTGTTAGAATTGAATTAATTCCACGTTTTATCATAGATAATTATTACACATTTTTCATTGATTATCATTTTATTTTAAATAATAATTTAAATCTTATTATATGATATATTACATATTTATTTTTTAAAATAAATTACATTTTTTTTATCTCTTTATATATCTTTTTTTTTAAACAATATAAAAAAAATAACTAATACAAATTGATGTATAAAAAAATGTTAATATATAATTTTCACCGATTAAATTTAAATAAAAATTGATATATAAAAAATAAATCAATTGCCAAAATAAATAATGAAATAACATCGATCAACATATTCAACATTCCACCCTCCAAAGAAATTCGGCTTATGATTTCCTTGGATCAGTTGAGTGGTAACGTCATAAACATTCATGATCACCACGCAATACGCTACCCATGTTCATGGTGCAGTCTTCTTTTCAAACAGAACGATGGCTTGGTAAAGTAAAGACAACCCCTAGATATCCAAACCGGATCGCTCGTGCCTGGCATTGAACATCTAGATTCCTTTCGAGCAAGGTTTATTTTGTCGTGCTTCAGCCAGCAATCCAATTTCTGAGTCGTTGCATTGATCTTGGCGCACGGAATTCTCCTTGAAGGTATGTGTTGTATTAGGATGATAAAAATTCATTATATTTTAAAGGATTATAATTTATATATATATTTACGAACCTGTTAGCCATGTATTTTGTATATTTTTGTGGAAAAAGAAAAATACAGTGGCAACAAAGGAAAAAGATGTTTATTTTTGTTTTAAAAAAGGAGAAATTTATGTATATACTATCACTTATTATTTTTATGGAAATTTATGAAAAAAGAAATATTTGAGAAGAAAAGATTCATTAATTAATAAGTAAAGAAGGAAAAAAAGATCTATAATTAATATTTAAAAATTGAAGTGGTAAAAGATTTATAATTAATACTTTAAAAGGGAAAAAGTTAAATAAATATATCAGAGACCTGCAGGCCCGGCCCTAAACCCCCCGGGCCGGGCCGGGCCTAAAAAATTTTTTTAAAATATATTCGGGCCGGGCCGGGCCGGGCCGGGCCTAAGATTGTTAAACCCGGGCCGGGCTTTAATATTTTTTATAAAAATTTTTACATTATGAGTTAATGGTTATAAGATTATATTATATTACAGTTATGATTAAAATAATATATTGGGTGATGGTTAACACTACCTAACACCCACAGATCGATCTAATTATCAATTTCCCGCAAATTTATTCAAAGTATTAATATATTTTTTTATAATTCATATCTAAATTTTTACAACATATTTTACCAAAACAATCAAATAAAGGAATATCTTAAATAAGCCCCAATATTCAAGTATTATTAATATATTTTTTTATAATTCATATCTAAATTTTTGGTATATATTTTACCAAAACAATCAAATAAAGGAATATCACTTCTTGAAGTTTGTAATACCTTTCAAAGCGAAAAAGGAGAAATAAAATTGATTTTACTTAATATAAAGCATTTTTTAATTGAAAAATTTGTTTTACACAAGTATCATTTTATTTCTCTTTTTCTCTGTCCCAAATTCAAGCAATTACCTATGAAAACTATATAAAAGATTATATTAAATTACAAGAGGCTCAGGAAGTAAATGAAATACCATCGACCAGTCAAATTACGACTGTTGTTAAACAAACTGAATCGTTTTATGACAAATGGGACGATGGTAATTCTGGTAATATGTCAATACCCGATGATGAATATTATAATTACATAAATAAAAAAATAGATTAAACATTTAATGTGGATAATTTGTTGGAGTGGTGGGCGGCTCATCAAAGCGAATATCCAATTTTAGAAAAATTGGCAATTCCTGCTTCAAGTGCAAGCTGTGAGCGGAATTTTTCCACTACTGGAAGAATTCTTGAAGAAAGAAGAAGTAATCTTCAACCTGAAAAGGTAGATATGCTTCTCTTTCTTCATGATAATTTGTGAATTTTTAATATCTTTCTTGAGTATAGGGTTTCGTCAATCATGCTGGTTTTTTACTTTGCAAACTGTCAAATATTTATTGCATTTATTATATTTTACCTTGAGTCATGAAAGTTTTTAATCCAACATTTTTCATTATTTTTTATTACAATATTATATAATACAATTATCTTCTTTTGTTAAAAATTTAAATTATAAAATAAATTATATTAATATTGTGCAATTAGATTATATTTTCAAAATACTATTTATTATACATGCATTTTTTTAAATAGCGATTTATTTTTATTTTATAAATTAAATAGTAAATTAAATACAATATATTATATTCTCAAAATATTTTCCATTTTTATAAATTAAATATTAGTTTTATTTTTTTTAAATGCAATATAAAATATAGTATATGCTCAAAATATTATTACCATTTTTATGAATATTAGTTTTATTTTTATAAATGCAATATAAAATATAGTATATGCTCAAAATATCCATTTTTATAAATAACAGTTTTATAATTTTTATAAATTCAAATATAATATTTTCAAAATATTAGCTTTTGACATGTATTTTTTAAATAATAAGCGATAATACTCGATGAAAAATATGGTTAAATACCTCATAGGTGAATTTTTGTATATACCACAGGTCGAATATAATTTTAAAAAATTCCGAGCCGGGCCTGAAATTTTTTTTTAAAAAATCCGGGCCTTAATTTTTTAAATCCGGGCCGGGCTGGGCCGTAAAAAATTTTTTTTAAAAATATCCGGGCCGGGCCTTAAATTTTTAAATCCGGGCCGGGCCGTAAAAATTTTTTTTAAAAAATATCCGGGCCGGGCCTAAAAAAATTAAAACCAGGCCGGGCTGTGCAAATGGTACCTCTGCAGGTCTCTGAAATATATATTATTTAGTTATTTCTTTCTAATGGAATTTTTGTATTTCGTTACTTTCATTTTAATTCTGTATTTCGTTACTTTCATTTTAATTGTGCCGTGTAGTTAATTTTTACATAGGGGTTTATGTGGACACAAGCATATTTTTTTTATGGTAACATAAATTCTTATTCAATTAGAATTAATTTTTAGATTTTGGAAATAATAAATTAAATAAAGAGTTAAAGTGAAAATCGTTGAAAATTTAAAAAAGGAATTATATTTATTTTAGAGGAAATAAGGTTTAAAATTTGAATTATTTAAATGAGAATATGTTATTTTTACGCTCATAATAATAGGCATTCTTATATTAATAGCGTATCGGATGTTAAGAGTATACTTATTGAAATATTTAATAAATTTATTAATAGGTATGATTTAATTAATAACGTTTGTATTTAGTTTTAATAATTTTAATAATAATATATTTTATTATATTAATAATTAAGAAGATTAATAAGAAAAGAATTAAATGGCATTTTTCAGAGGTAAAAACAGAGAAAGGAAAATTAGATATATTAGATAAAATAAATAATTCTTTAAGTATTAAAACACAAGATAATGAAAGTAATCTTTTACATTTAGTATTACAGGAGATACAAAATAGAAATAATATAATTGAGGAAACTGATAAAATAATTAATCCGATATTAACAGAAAATAATTTAACATTTAAGGAAGTAGAAATATCGGGTCAAAATATTTTACATTCGTGTATCTCGCTTGATCTTTCCCATATTCCCTAACTGCTTTACATTTATCATCAACATAATACCCTCTACGATTATAAATATTCAATTCATTATAAAACATATTATAAAATTTATTATTAAAACTATGATATAATCTATTATTATTAATATGATTATTAGGTCTCATGACCTCTTTATACCTCCTAGATTCATATAGTCAATTAAAGGCAATTAATAGCTAAATGTCCTTCCTTGCACTTGAAACAACGACGTTCCTTAAACTCGTTAATCTTGTTTAAATTCTTATTTAATGTATTATCTATTTCCCTTATATTACAAATTGCAGATTTAAAATTTTTAGAATTTCTAATTGGGAAACCCTCACAAATATTTTTTTCATTAACATAACATTTATCCTCACTATGTCCCTTATAACCACACTTATTACACCTCATACCCTCCACTACTTTATTCTTATTATAAAAACAATCCTGTTCTTTATGACCCCTACGATCACATATTCTACAATTATTCATTAACTTATTTAAATCACGCGACATATCCCTTATTAAGTCCCTTTGTGTCTTTAATTCCTTTACAATCATATTTAATGTAAAATTAATATCTTGTATGCTATCTCCTGTACCGAGTGTTTTATTATTAACCTCCTTTATACTTTTCTCCTGCATAATTGTCTTATTATTACGTAAATCACTTAAAATTAATTGTAAAATATTTGTTGTGTTATCTCGATCTATAATCTCCCCTGACCTTATCTTCTTCTCTAAAGATTTATCTATATGATTATATTTTCCATTGTCCGAAAATGTTTGTCCTATATGTGATTTATCACTTGTACAGGTGTAACGAAGGTATCAAGATGGTAAATTCAAACAGAATTAAATTAAATAAAAATTTGATTAAAAATATAAATAGAAAGGAAAATTTTTTTAAATGGAAAAAATATAAAAGACCAAACAATTATAATAATATGTTAATAATGAGGTGCAATAAGGAACACTCTTCATGTCCTCGGGTTAACATTAAAATATACATAAGGACATTGAGATGTTGTTCGATACGGGAGCTGTGATTTCCATCATGTCTTATAAAAGATATCATGAAATTTGGCCTCAAAGAATTCTCGAAAAGGGGAATATATACGTCAATTTGATGGAACGGAAATCAAAATTTTGGGTAAATCCAGAGTTAGAGTAAGAGTTGGTAATAGAAAGATATGTCTTAATTTATGGGTGGTTGAGAAGAAGTTGAGACCATAATGAGTTGGGACTGGATCAATAAAATAGGTTCACAATGCAATTATTGGAATATTTTTACAGAAAGGCATATAAAAAATAATGAAATAAATAATGAATTCAATGCAAATAATAGAGAGAATAAGGTAAGAGAATTAGAGGGGTCAAAATTAAAGAATAAAGATTCGAAATTTTTCAATAATCGAGACATTTATAAGTCATAGGTTGAGATAACATCAAAGAATGATATTTAGGGCGGAATAGTCCTGAAATTGATATACAAAATAAGGATAATATATTACATGTTAATGATATAAGAGATAGGGGTAATATACAAAATAATATTAAGACAACATTTAATCAAATATCAATAAATGAGCAAGAAGATAATGAATTAACTAAGGTTCATGACGCCATAGATTTATTAATTAAAAAATATGAAATAATATTTGAAGACACTTTAGGATGTCTTAAGGACTACCAAGTGGACGTTAAACTCAAAAAAAGGTGTTACGCCTATTTTTTTAGGATGCAGCCAAGTACCTTTTGAATGGGGAAAGGAAGTTGAAGTCGAATTAGACCGATGGTTAAAGGATGGTATAATAGTTCCCATTAATTATAGTGAGTGGGCCACACCTTTGGTTCCGATCAGAAAATCGAATGGAAAGTTAAGGCTTTGCGCCGACTTTCGGGTCACTCTCGATCCGGGGTAGTGGAGGTTAAATATCCATTACCTCGAATTGAGGAAATTTTAGCTAATTTAAAGGGAACAGATGTCTCTAAAATTGATTTTTCCACAGCATATTTACAATTACCTCTTAGGGAAGATATACGTAAATTATTTACAATTACCACATCTAAGGGTTTATTTTCGTTTTGTCGATTGCCTTTTGGCCTCAGCGTATCCGCTCCAATATTTCAGCGCACCATGGCATCCGCTTTTCAAGGTTTAGAAGGGGTTTTCTATTATATGGATGATGTATTGATTACGGGTGTAACACCAGAACAACATAATCAGAGGTTAGAAGAGGTTTTTAAGAGAATATTTGAGAAGGGTTTAAAGGCCAGTCGAGAGAAAAGTGTATTAGGAGTAACTGAAATAGTATATTTGGGTCATACCATAAAGGGGTTGGAAGTAAAACCTCTAGATAAAAATTTAAAAAAAATAGCTAATTTACAACAACCCAAAAATAAGTCCTAAGTTCAATCATTCCTGGGTATGGTAAATTATTACCAAAGGTTTATAGGAGAATTTGCTAGTATAGCTGCTCCATTTTATCATTTATTAAGGAAGGGTATTCATTTTGAATGGAAAGAATCTCAACAAATGGCATTTGAATTATTGAAACAAAAGATTGGTGAAGCCAATTTTAAGTTGTTTTAATAATGATTTACCCATAATATTAGCGGTGGGTGCATCTAATAGAGGTGTGGGGGGGGGTGATTTATTACATGTAATAAATGATATGGAGAGACCTATTCTATTCTTTTCAAGAGTTTTTCATGATACAGAAACCCGATAATGAGTAAGAGGCATTAGCGTTAATTTTTGATCTAACTAAATGTAGGGAATATTTAATTGGTAAAAGATTTACAGTCTATACCGACCATAAGCCGATAATTCATTTGTTTAAGAAAAATAACAAGGAATTAATGTTATCACCTAGACTGCAAAGGTAGTTATTATTGGTAGGTAGTTTCAATTTGGAGCTTAAATATCGAAGAGGTAGGGAAAATCATCTACCTGATATTTTATCCAGATTGGGATCGAATACTGAAAGTTTTAAAATAAATAATATAGAATTTTCGCTAGAAGATGAAACAATAATTCGTAATTTATCTCACATATTAAAAGGGGGTCCTACTACGTGGGATGAACTCAGGAAACATAGTCTAAGGTAGAGGTCTGCATTGGTCGGGTTTCTTGCCCGCCCGCCCACGCCCGTCCATCTAAGTGGGCGGGCGGGTAAAATTTTTTAAAAAACGGGCAGGCGGGCGGGTTAAAAAAAATTTTTAACAATGGGCGGGTGGGCGGGTTAAGAAATTTAAACAATGGGCGGGAGGGCGGGTTAAAAAAATTTTATTTTAATTAATAAAAAATTGTTCTTACGAACTTAAAAAATAAAATGCCTTTTTCTGGTATAACTTTTTATAAAATAAATCAACTTTTTTCTTCAATTAAAAAAACTTTTTCTGCAAATAAAAACAAACTTTTATCTATAAACAAATTAAAATCTCCTTTTATGGTAATGAAATAAAACTTTTTTTTTAAAATATATAATTTTTTAGATATTGAAAATTAAAATTTCCTTTTTTGGGAATAATGAAATTACTCCATTGTGTTATTTTATTTTAGTAATGATTGTTTATCTTTATATTGCCCTTTTTATTTTCATTTTTATTTTCTTATATAATATATAAATTTTATTTTTTATAATATAATTCTAACAAAATAATATTTTTTAATTTAATTTTAAAATATGAATTAAGAATTGATTGCTAAGAAAATAAAAAATAATTTTTATAAGATAAAAAACAATGAAGATAATAATAATAAACTTAAATCGTTTATGTGGAAACAATTTAAAATTATTTTTGATGAAAATGACAAAAAGCTAGATTGGATTTGCTGCAATGATTTCGAGTCCATCTTTAAATATAATAGCAAAACTGGCACCTCCTTCTTCCTTCGGCATCAATGTTCATCTGCAAATTATGAAGATTTGATAAATAAAAAAATAACTGGATATTTTGAAAAAGACAATTCTCAATTAAACAAAACGATAAAATCTGGTCTAATAGCGAATTTTGTAGAATATTGCGCTAGAGACATTAGGTATTTTAATTTAATAAATTATTCTTTTATCTTTTTTAGGCCATTTCAAGCAGTTCAAGGACCTGGATTTATAAATATTTTATAAAGATTTGCCGACTTAGGGGCAACATATGCTAAATTGGATGTTAATAAGATCATCCCTTGTGCTACAACAGTTAGCCGCAACGTATCCAAAGTTACTGAGAATCTTAAGGAAATATTATTTCCTAAAATTGTAGAAATGATAAAAAATTCCATTTGCTCATGTACTACTGATATGTGGTGTGAAGAATTTACCAAAACCGATTACATATCTCTATCAATCCATTATATACAAAATTGGAAATTAGAAAAAAAATTTCTTTTTATTTCAAAATTTTCAAGATGAAAAAAAGACGGGAGAAAATATTCTTAAAGAATTATTAAAAAAATTTTTAAAAATTGGTGTTCCCCGGGAATATTTTTCCAAGCTCACCTTTGTTACGGATCAAGGAGCAAATATTAAAAAAGCTTTGGAAGGGTAAATTTTTTATTAAATAAAATTTAATTATTATGTAGATATTATAATAATTTCTGAGAGATTTTGTATACACCTAAAGAAAAAACATTCATATTTAAAGAACTATATTTTCCTTTTATTTTTTCAAATATTAGGTTTAATAGACTAAACTGTTCAGCACATATGCTGAACACAATACTTCGTAATACCTTCCAGTCAACTTTTATTTTAAAAAATGCTCCCGAGATTAATAATATTTTGGTACTGCAAAATCATTGACGACTTATTTTAAACAAAGTGGCAACGTAAAATATCTAAGCAAGACGTTACTACAAAATATTGATATAAGATGGAATACAAAGCATAATATGCTACAAAGCATTTATATAATGTATGATGAGATTTTTTTATTCTTACAATCTCGTGATATGACTGAAAAAATGGGATCTATGGGAAAGGAAGATTTAAAAACACTGATAGATTATTTGGAACCATATAAAGATGCAACTAATGCTCTTGAGGGTGATTGCAGGCCTACACTACAGAACGTTCTTATATGGTATGAAAATTAATATTTTGGGATTTATGCCCATTTTTTCTTTATTTATAAAAAAATTAGGTATAATCTTCTACATGAGCATAATGAAATAAATATGAATATAATGGAGAGAAAAACAAAATGCGAAAAAGAAATAGATATAATAAAGAAAAGAGCTAAAAATTTTATAATTGAAAAATTTAAAATTCATATGCTCCATAAAGTTTCAATATTTTTAATACCAAAGTTCCGACAAATGAGGATGTTGTCGTCGGAAGAAATTAATGAATTAAAAAAACATAAGGAAAACTTGTTAGATTTGATTTGCATAGAAGAATGTAACATCGACGTATATGAAAATTTGATTTTACCCATTTCCCCAAAAGCAAAGAGAATCCAATTAAAAGGTATTAATAAATTATAAATTCGTTTAGCTACTTATTAAATGTAATATTTGAAATAAATAGCATCCACATCAAAATTAAACCCCAACAGATGGGAGGATGAGGTTGTTACTGAGGATAGTACCGTACATAATGGCATAACAAGATATTTAAATCTTAAAGTAATTATTTTTGATAAGTATAATTTAGCATAATTTTAAGATGCATATATTACAATTAATATAAATTTAAATTACTTTTATAAATTTATTATTATTGGTACACTTTTATTTAAAGATTTCAATTGAGGAAGAGGATATACTTCAAAAGGATGTCCTACTTTGGTGGAAACGACAAGAAAAAGATTTGCCAAAGCTATCAATAGCAAGAAAAATATTAGCAATTCCTCCAACTAGTGCTACTTCTGAAAGAGGATTTAGCAATGCCGGAAGGTTTTTAGAACAAAGAAGAACGTGTTTGAATCCCGAAAATGTGGATTCATTATTATTTTTACATTATAATTACTTATAAAATTTATTTTATATTTATATTTTATAAATATTTTATTTGATAAAATAAATTATCCATAATTTAAATTGAATATTTTTTAAGCTTAATATAGTAATTTCCTAAATTATAAAACTTATAGAGATGTAATGTTGAAACTATTTTCATTAGATGCTTAAAATAGCGGGCTTGGGTAAAAATTTTTTTTATAAATAATGGGCGGGTGGGTAAAAAATTTCTGACTAATGAGCGGGCGGGCAAGAAATTTTAGACTAATGGGCGGGCGGGTAAAAATTTTTAGATTAATGGGCGGGCGGGCGGGTTAAAATTTTTTAAACATTGAGTGGGCGGGCATATTATCCAAAAACCCTCCCAATGCAGACCTCTAGTCTAAGGTAAGGAATTAAGACAGGTAAGATTATGTTTAACAGGCACTATAAAGTGGAAGAACAATCTTAATAATTATAAAAGGATACAAACAGAATTATCTATAGTGGATGATTGTGTTATTAGAATAAATCGAGCAGTAATTCCTAGAAAATTAAGAAATAAGTTGTTAATAATTTTACATGCCGGTCATCAAGGCATTGAAAGAATAAAACAATGGGCTAGGGAATATATATGGTGGCTGGGTATGAATGAGGAAATTGAATATATTACAAAAAAATGTGTGCCTTGCAATACTTTTTCCAACATGTCACATAAAGAAGTAGGTAATATTTGGCCAAAAACAAGTCGACCGTGGGAACGAATACACGTCGATTTTTTTGATTTAAATAAAAGATCATATTTTTAGTAGTAGACTCATATTCAAAATGGATTGAATATGAGGAAGTACATGGTTTAACTACTAATATTGTAATTAAAAAATTAAAAAATTTATGGGCAAAATTCGGGATTACCGAAGTCATTGTTTCTGATGGCGGTCCAGCTTTCATTAGCGAAAATTTTAAACAATTTTGTGCTAACACACAAACTCAACATATTTTGGCACCACCATATCATACTAGTTCTAATGGACAAGCTGAAAGGATGGTGGCCATTGTTAAAAATTGGTTAAAGAAAGCAAAATATGAAAAGGGTGAAGTGTGGATTGCACAATTATATTATAATAATTCCTAAAAGAGGGGAGATTTTACTCCAACTGAAAGATTTTTGGGAAGAAGGACGAAAGTATTATTGGATCTTATAAAAATCAAGATGTGATATAGAGGTTTTATCAAAGAAAATCAATAGTACATTATATCATATGGGTCAAATGGTATGATTATCCATTGTCAATAAAGTGAGAGGATAAATGGAGGCAACAAATGAATGGAAACACAAGGACGTGGGAGAGACTGATGGAGGATGAAAAAGAAGAGGAATGTATTTTGTCGAATCGATTTGATATAAAGCGGGTGCGACAATGTTTTCGTTGTAGAAAGTGGGGACATTTAAAAATTCAGTGTCAAGGGAAAAGATTTAAGAATCGAAGGAAAAGAATACAAAAGATTAAACCTGTAGTAGCTTCAAAGAGTTTCAATTTGACAAGTATCCTTTAGATGTCAAAAATAAATGTCCGGGAATTTTCAATAAGGTGAATATAGAATCGGAGAAGAAAACATTACCTGTTATGACTAAAGAGAAAGATATATGGCTACAGAAGAAGGAAGAGAGTGAATTATTGGGTGGAATGAAAGATGAATTGGAGATTGGATATATCCTGAGTCATATGGAAGAAATGGCATTATTTGAAGAGGAAGATTAAAGGATATTATATACACTAAGCCTTAATAGGGTGGACGTGTTGTATTAGGATGATAAAAATTCATTATATTTTAAAGGACTATAATTAATTTTTATATATATTTACGAACCTGTTGTTAGCCATGTATTTTGTTTATTTTTGTGGAAAAAGAAAAATACAGTGGCAACAAAGGAAAAAGATGTTTATTTTTGTTTTAAAAAAGGAGAAATTTATGTATATACTATTACTTATTATTTTTATGGAAATTTATGAATAAAGAAATATTTGAGAAGAAAAGATTCATTAATTAATAAGTAATGAAGAAAGGAAAAAAAGATCTATAATTAATATTTAAAAATTGAAAAGATTTATAATTAATACTTTAAAAGGGAAAAAGGTAAATAAATATATATTATTTAGTTATTTATTTCTAATGCAATTTTTGTATTTCGTTACTTTCATTTTAGTATGATCTTAGGCACAGCATCGGGCTTTAAGTGAACTTTCTCTTGTCTGACCATTTTGGGTTTGTAGGAGTAAGTTGATGCGAGGTCTTTTTTTGTTGTCGAGATTATTTTCTCGAGATTATTCTCTACATTACCCACTAAGAACGTTTTTAAAATGTTGTTGAAGGTGTGGAGCCACATACGTCTTAGCAGGGAGATCTTATCACAATCCACTACAATAGCCTCCAGTGTATGTGAGCTTCCTTCATACTTAACGTTCACATTGACAAGACCTAATATCTTGATAGCACTGCCGTCATAACCAGTGAGTCTCATGTCCGTCTTACGTATCGCGGTTATGCCTACAGTCTTAAAGTATACTGTACCTGGTACCGGTGTCAACTTGCATCAACGTGGGTATGTTGTTGATGCTCACTGTCACGTTGTACGCGTCATATATGGTATCCTTGACCCCCCTATTGTAGACTTCCAAATTCTGCAGATTATATTCTTTAAGGTCTGTGTTTGAGTCGTCGTCATCATCGATTACTTCGATGTTCATAGCGTGGTTCGTATTCAATTGACAATCACGATATTTGTGATCAGAAGATCTATTGTAAGTGTTATTGTCATTTTTGTACTGGTTGGGCCTCGACGAATATTTCGGAAAACCATTAATATTTTGAGGGCTGTGTCTGTGCTGACCACGACACGGATAGTTGGTTCGTTTATCACCTCTATAGCAGTCATCTCGTCGATCAGGGCTTTGATGATGGTCACAATGAGAGTCATGGCGATTGCCATGGACGTTGTACCCGCTATTGTTGTATCGATCGTCGTAGTAGTTATCGTTGCGATTATCGAAACTGTTGTGGTTATAGTGACAATTATCGTAGCTTTGATCAAAACGATTGTCGTGGAAGTTGCTGTGCCGTCCGTTGAATCGTTTGTCGCTGTCGTTGTCGTAGCGTATATCATAACGTTCATCAAATCGTTTGTCACGGCAATAGTCGCATCGTAAATCGTAACGTTCATCGAAATGATGTGCGGGGCGATTGTCATTGATGAACTGGGGTTGCTTGATAAGAGATTTACTATGTGCGTGAGAGTCCTGAATGGAATTTGTTGTTACATAACTATTTTTGACTCTGCCCATCTGATTAACCTCTTGTACACCAGGTGATATATTAAAATGTAACAATTTCACCTTGATGCCACTTGGGTCCGCGGTGTCTTCCTCTAGACCTAGATTGTAAATGTCTTCTATGGTCATAGAGCTCTTGACCGCTTTCCTGACATCTTTGGAATACGAAGATACTCTCACTTTCTCAATAATTCTCTGAATGCCATTAAATTTACATTCTTTATTGAGTCGTGCTACGCGCATGACCCAAGCCGAGAATGTCTCATCCTTGCCTTGAGTTGCAGCATAAAATAATGATAGTTTAGCGTTCCCGGTCTTCGATGGATGTTGTAACTTGAATTTGCCAAGCAGGGCGATTAGATCCTGGAAGTCTTCCTCAGTGCAAATTGCCCCAATATTATTGAATTCGTCATCAGGAAGACTTCGGAAAAATAAAGCGGACTTTTCTCCGTTGGAGATCTTGCTGGTGTTGAAGAGATTCTGCAATTTCCCTATGTAGACGCTGTCATCGCTACTAAATTTGGGGAAATCCAGCTTGACAAATTCAGTCATATATGTGGAATTGTTCAAAGCATCCATCGTAAGAGAATTATAATCGATAAAGGCGTGAAATAGAATAAATGTACATTGTAAAATCAAGATTAAATTTTGAGATAGTACTTAAGCAAAGTTTAGACGTAGATTGGCCTCCATGTTAGAATTGAATTAATTCCAAGTTTTATCATAGATAATTATTACACATTTTTCATTGATTATCATTTTATTTTAAATCATAATTTAAATCTTATTATATGATATATTACATATTTATTTTTTTAAATAAATTACATTTTTTTCTCTCTTTATATATCCTTTTTTTTTAAACAATATAAAAAAAATAACTAATACAAATTGATGTATAAAAAAAATGTTAATATATAATTTTCACCGATTAAATTTAAATATAAATTGATATATAAAAAAATAAATCAATTGCCAAAATAAATAATAAAATAACATCGATCAACATATCAACAATTTTACCACGAAATTTTTTTTAAAACTTTGTTTTAAGCCTAGTTAAAAGTTTTTGATAATAGAAAGATGTTCATTTTTTAACTTTATATTATTTTTATATTATATTATCTTAACTTATGTATCTTATATTTTAATAAAAAATTTTAATATAAATTTGAAATAAAGTTTAATAGTGAATTTATTTTTAAAATTTTAATCTTGGCTTTTCTCTAAAAAAGCCATCTAGGGTTACCAGTAGTTTTGTTAAAAAACCTGATTTGGGTCGATTTTTCAAACGGCCAGATTAATTATGTAAACATCGAGATTTGGCAAATAGATCCAAGTATTTCTGCCAGCTATATGTAAAATCTTTAAGCTTACATAATGTTATTTTGCTTATAATCTTAATCGGGCCGTTTTTTAAAATCGACCCGAATCGGGTTTTTTAACAACACTAGCAGATCCTGCCTAGTGGAAAAGAGAAATTTTTTCATGTATTTTAAATAAGGAATTAAAATTAAATTAAATTGATGATTAAGCAGTTATTTAATAAATTGCATTTATATATAAATTACATTATACATTTTGCAAATGATATATTTTTTTATTTCATATTTTCACTTGCAGATATTTTTGGTAATATATTTGATATTTTCTCTAAAAAACTTAAAGAAATTTGGATGAAGCCTTTAAAATGGTATAGCATTCATATAATTGCCTTTATAGATTTAAATTACTCTTACCCTCATTTGTCCATTAACTATTGATTAATGAAAAAATCTTTCAACTTTAGCAATAGCTGGTGTAAGAAAATTGAAGCCTGCTATAATTAGCAGTTTATATATTCGACTATTGAATTATCATAGAATATTTGACCCATTTTTGGTGAAGAGGAAGTTTTATATATTCAGCGCACCTCATTATTTATAATAAACAATTTAAGGTTGCAATATTGGTCAAACAACTTTGACTCATTATTCAAAAAATCTATAGACTTTTCTAAATGTGACTACTTGGCATTTATATTACTAGAAATTCTGGCCTAAGATCAACCCATTAAATGCTATGTCTACAGTGGCGTAGCCAAGATTTATCCATGGGAGGGGGGGGGGGTTAAAACTTTTTGGGAACTTCGCCCCCAAACCCTATTTTTAAATTTTGCTAATATTATGTGCTTTATTAGTGTAAATCACTAGTAGCCAGCATAAATGAAAGAATATTAGTAACAGAATTTTGGCCAAATTTATGATTAATAAGCGGCTGGAAACATTATTGATTATTCTAAAAATTTTATCAATGTTTAATAAATTGTAAATTAGTCCATCCAGTGTAGAAAGAAGAAAAAAACTTGCCCCCCCCCCCAAACCTTCCATTTTTTATGATCACTCAATATATCTTATTGAGTGTTAAAAATAATTATTTTAATTAAATTTTAGAGAATTTCATTATAGATTTTATTTATTGTTAAAATACTATAGTATAAATAACATCCCTTATTTATTTTAATGATAAAAATAAAATAAATTTCAAAATTTAGAAATTTTATACAGATTATTATATTAAAAATTTATTGTATATAAGTTATATACCGTAATCGGCTAATTTTAGCCGACTAAAAACGGCTTAGCCGAGATTTTAGGTGAAAAATCGGCTAAGCCTAATTAGGCTAAGCCTAAAAATCGGCTAAACCTAATTAGGCTAAGCCTAAAAATCGGCTAAACCTAATTAGGCTAAGCCTGAAAAATCGGCTAAGCCGAAAAATTGGCTAAGCCTAAAAATTGGCTAAGCCTAAAAATGGGCTAAGCCTAAAAATTGGCTAAAATAAATTAGTCAAAATTCTGCCTCGATGCTTAGCATTAATTATTATTTATTTATTTTAGTAAAATAATTTATTTTATTTATATTTAATGTAAATATTTTATTATTATCAACAAATAAACATGATATGATTTAATATTTTTTATTTATATTATTATATTTTGAAATGAAAATAAATTTATTTATTTGATGTTTTTTTAATAAAAAAAATAAAATGCTGCTATATTGTAAAGATGTAATATTCTTTATAATATATTTTATTAGTGATTTTCACAATCTTCTTTGTAAATACATCTTTTATTGAGAAATTATATTGTAAATTTTATTAGATAAATAAACAATCTTTTAGGTGAAATCTTTTATCATTTTTTTAAAATTATCTATTTATTATTAAATAAGGTGGATTTTATGAAACTTTTTTGATGTTATTTTATATGATCTTTAGGATAATATTTTAATGTGACAATTGTCATAATCGTTCTATTATAAGTTTTTTGAATTTTTTTGAAGAAAGTATGTTAAAATAAGTATTAATAACATGTGTAAATACAAATTTAGTGAAGATGTACCAATGAAAAGTGACAATTGTCATAATCGTAATTTTTAAAGTTTTTCGAATTTTTTTGACGAAAATATGTTAAAATAAGAATTAATAACATGTGTAAATATAAATTTAGTGAAGATGTACCAATGAAAAGTGACAATTGTCATAATGGTTAATTTTAAAGTTTTTTGAATTTTTTTGACGAAAATTTGTTAAAATAAGTATTAATAACATGTGTAAATATAAATTTAGTGAAGATGTACCATAGAAAAGTGACAATTGTCATAATCGTTATTTTTAAAGTTTTTTGAATTTTTTTGACGAAAATATGTTAAAATAAGTATTAATATTATGTCTAAATATAAATTTAGTGAAGATGTACCAATGAAAAATGACAATTGTCATAATCGTTATTTTTAAAGTTTTTTGAATTTTTTTGACGAAAATATGTTAAAATAAGTATTAATAACATGTGTAAATATAAATTTAGTGAAGATGTACCAATGAAAAGTGACATTTGTCATAATCGTTAATTTTAAAGTTTTTTGAATTTTTTTGAAGAAAATATGTTAAAATAAGTATTAATAACATGTGTAAATATAAATTTAGTGAAGAAGTACCAATGAAAGGTGACATTTGTCATAATTGTTATTTTTAAAATTTTTTGAATTTTTTTGAAGAAAATATGTTAAAATAAATATTAAAAACATGTTTAAATTAAAATTTAGTGAAGATGTGCCATAGAAAAGTGACAATTGTCATAATTGTTATTTTTAATTTTTTGAATTTTTTTGACGAAAATATGTTAAAATAAGTATTAATAACATGTGTAAATATAAATTTAGTGAAGATGTACCAATGAAAAGTGACACTTGTCATAATCGTTATTTTTAAAGTTTTTTGAATTTTATTGACAAAGATATTTTAAAATAAGTTTTGATAACATGTTTAAATAAAAATTTAGTGAAGATGTACTCTAGATAAGCGACAATTGTCATAATCGTTATTTTTAAAGTTTTTTGATTTTTTTTGACAAAAATAGTTAACTTGCATCGATATTGATTTTAAAATAGAAAAAAAAGTTTACCCAAATTTTAAACAAGATTGTCTGGTGAAAATTGGTAAAAAAATAATAATTTCTAACTTAGGATTAGATATTATGATATAAATTTTGCATATTAATTTCTGACCCGATGAACAAATGTAATAAAATGCCAATTTGGTCCTGTTTTTGGGGAAGAACCTATTATTACCATATGTTTTTCTATGGCATATACTCAGGCAATTTTAATTTTACAATCTATATTTTTACCCATTTACATCAAAGAAATTTTAAAAATAACGATTATGACAATTGTCACTTTTCTATAGTACAACTTCACTAAATTTTTATTTAAACATGTTATTATTACTCATTTTAACATATTTTCGTCAACAAAAATAAAAAAACTTAAAAAATAATGATTATGACAATTGTCGCTTATCTAGAGTACATCTTCATTAAATTTTTATTTAAACATGTTATATATACATATTTTAAAATATTTTCGTCAAAAAAATTCAAAAAACTTTAAGAATAACGATTATGACAATTATCACTTTTCATTGGTACATCTTCACTAAATTTATATTTACACATGTTATTAATACTTATTTTAACATATTTTCGTCAAAAAAATTCAAAAAATTTAAAAAATAACGAATATGACAATTGTCACTTTTCATTGTCTTCACTAAATTTATACTTACACATGTTATTAATACTTATTTTAACATATTTTCGTCAAAAAAATTCAAAAAACTTTAAAAATAACCATTATGACAATGTCAATTTTCTATGGTACATCTTAACATAATTTTATTTAAACATGTTATCAATACTTATTTTAACATATTTTCTTCAAAAAAATTCAAAAAACTTATAAAATAACGATTATGACAATTGTCACTTTTCTATGGTACATCTTCACTAAATTTTTATTTAAACATGTTTTTAATACTTATTTTAACATATTTTCTTCAAAAAAATTCCAAAAACTTATAAAATAACGATTATGATAATTGTCACTTTTCTATGGTACATCTTCACTAAATTTTTATTTAAACATGTTTTTAATACTTATTTTAACATATTTTCTTCAAAAAAATTCAAAAAACTTTAAAAATAACGATTATGACAATTGTCAATTTTCTATGGTACATCTTCACTAAATTTTTATTTAAACATGTTATTAATACTTATTTTAACATATTGTCGTCAAAAAAATTCAAAAAACTTTAAAAATAACGATTATGACAATTGTCACTTTTATTTGGTACATCTTCACTAAATTTATATTTACACATGTTATT